ATTTATTTATTTATTATTTTATCTATATTTATATTTATTTTTATACTAGCATGACATATTTTTTTTAATAAATATTGTAATGTAATTGTTGCTAATGTATAATAGAATTAATGGAATGCAATAAAGTTTTGTGCATCTGATTTCAGGCAATACATATTTTGTGAAATTAAAAATACCTTGCCCAATATTTATGTACTTGAATCCAAACATGTTTTCAGGTTGATACTTACATATTATTTGTGACGTCTATGTAATATGGAAAATGATTGAAGAGTTGTAGGGCAATAAGGAGTTTCCTTTAAAGCTGAACATAAAAGTGTATGTATATGTATAACATTATGTGATTCATATTTATGGACATAACTACTAATCACAATAACAATTATTATTGAAGAATGCGAAAACATTATTGTACTCGCTGATATCCCTAAAGTTTCTATAATCCTACCAAATCAAAAAGTACACGTTTGTTATGACTTTAAGCTTTCGAATGACCGTTCAAATTAAGGAGCATTATCATGAAGAATTTACAATTTGGGAGTCCAAATATTTGACAAAATACATCACAAAGTTCATTAAAAACATGAAATGTTACACTTTATATTCAAAACAATAGATATTAATCAGTACAAGTAGCAAATGTAAGCACAAAACAAGCTTACCGATGAAAGGTTATATTATCAATTTTTCGTTGACTGATGCTGTTGCATCCTAAAATGCTACAACTTACCATCTTTTTCACCTTACCTAATAACTAAGATCCACAAAAAACACTAAATTCAATTACCTGTTTGCTTATAATATCAATATTATTCAAAAGAGCTTGACATCGTTAATGTCAAATAAAGGAGGGAAAACAATCAAAAACGCATACCTAGAAAAAGACAAGAAATATAGATTTGCTTCTCCCTTACTCTTACATCTGTTAACGGTGGTAGAGCCCTGCAGCAGTTTTTTGCTGTTGCACGTATGGGCCGGCTCGAGCCGGGTTGGTACCACGACCTCACAGAATACCGGCGTGAAGTAGAGGCTCTGCTTCTGCGTTTCGTCTGGTGAGTGCAGGTGGCCGGAGGCCCAATTCCCCCCCCCCCCCCCCATCAACATGGTAGCGGAATTAGACAATAGACTACCCCAGGAGGGTACCAGTACCCCTGGAGAATCCCTCGCTGAGCATCCACGACCATGTTATTCCAATCCTGAGCGTGGGTGCTCAGGCTGCCCCGCGTATTCTGGGGGGGGCAAAATTCCGCTCAAAAACAAAACTGCTCGGGGCAAGCTGAGCAACAATACCAAGGTGACCCCTGCCACGCTATCCGTGAATTTCTGCAACATCAGGGGACTTCACTCTAACCTAAACGCCGTCCACTACCATCTCGAGACGGCGAAGCCGGCCTTGCTCTTTTTGACCGAGACGCAGGTTTCCTCTCCGACTGATATTTCGTATCTCTCCTACCCGGGGTACAAATTGGAGCACTCCTTTGTGCCTCGGGCTGGAGTTTGCGTGTATGTTAGAGAGGACATCTGTTCTCGACGCCTCGGCAGTCTTGAAGGTTCGGACCTGTCCATCCTTTGGCTACGCGTAGACAGCGACGACCATCCGCGCGTCTACGGGTGCCTCTATAGGTCCCATAGCGGTAATGCCGAAACAGACCGACTCATCGACCACGTCCAAATGGCTACAGATTCCTTGCTACAACAGGTCCCATCCGCAGAGATCGTGATCCTTGGCGATTTTAACGCCCACCATGCCGAATGGCTCGGTTCACGTTTAACCGATCATGCGAGGAGATCTGTTTATGACTTTGCCTTGGCATATGGTCTGACACAACTGGTTACTTCGCCTACGCGGATTCCAGATGTGGAGGATCATACACCTTCCCTGTTGGACCTTCTGCTGACCTCTCATCCGGACGGATATCAGGTTTCCGTCGATGCCCCTCTCGGCTCTTCGGACCATTGTCTGATCCGGAGTAAGGTGCCACTCACGCTCCCTTTGCGGTTGCGTTCTGCAGGTTGCCGCCGTGTTTGGCATTACAGGTCGGCGGATTGGGACGGAATGCGGTCTTTCTTTGCATCCTACCCATGGGGGCGGGTTTGCTTCTCGCCGGATGATCCCAGTGCTGTTGCTGACTCTGTCAATGATGTGGTGCTACAGGGAATGGAACTATTTATTCCATCATCTGTGGTACCCATCGGAGGCAGATCTCAGCCTTGGTTTGGTCGCTCCTGTAAGACTGCATTGCGCAGTAAGCAGGAGTGTTATCAAGCCTGGGCTGCGGCTTCGGTGACTCGGGATGTAAACACCAGCACACTTAAAAAGAAGTATAACTTCGCCTCCAGGTCCTTCAAAAGAGTTATTGCCAAGGCAAAGTCAGAGCACATAGGCAGAATTGGCGAGAAACTAGTTCGCCTTCCTTCGGGAACCCGTGCATTCTGGTCTCTCGCCAAGGCTGTCCAAGGGAATTTCTGTAAGCCATCACTACCATCTCTGCACAGGGAGGACGACTCACTGGCCCAAGACGCAAAAGACAAAGCTGACCTTTTAGGCTCCCTTTTTGCGTCCAACTCGACTCTTGATGACGGGGGGAAAACACCGCCGACCATCCCGCGGTGTGAGTGCTCCATGTCGGATGTGCTGTTCTCACAGCGCTCAGTTCGCAAAGCACTTCTCTCCCTGGACATCCAGAAGTCGAGTGGGCCTGACGGAATCCCCCCAATTGTGCTGAGGACGTGTGCTCCGGAGTTGGCACCGGTCCTAACGCGTCTTTTCCGGTACTCCTACTCCCAAGGCGTAGTCCCGAATTCATGGAAGACAGCTTTTGTCCACCCGATCCCTAAAAAAGGCGACCGCTCAGACCCGTCCAACTATAGGCCTATCGCGATCACCTCCTTGTTCTCCAAAATAATGGAATCCATTATTAACTGCCAGCTCATCCGGTACCTTGAGGATCACCAGCTGATTAGTGACCGCCAATACGGTTTTCGTCGGGGTCGATCAGCTGGTGATCTTCTGGTCTACCTGACCCATAGATGGGCGAAGGCAGTAGAGTCCAAGGGGGAGGCGTTGGCCGTTAGTCTGGACATTGCGAAGGCCTTTGATCGGGTTTGGCACAAAGCGCTTCTTTCGAAGCTGCCTTCCTATGGGCTTCCCGAGAAATTGTGCAATCGGATCACCAGCTTTCTTGCAGATCGGAGCATCAAGGTCGTTGTAGACGGTGCATGTTCTGACTACAAGCCTATTAACGCTGGTGTTCCACAAGGCTGTGTGCTATCACCAACGCTGTTTCTTCTGCATATCAATGATATGTTGCTAACTGGTAACATTCATTGCTATGCGGATGACAGCACTGGTGATGCTCTATACACCGGCCGGGCCAATATTTCTCGGGAAAACGTCGCCGAGTACCGGAACAAACTTGTGTCTGAAGTCGAGTCTTTGCTGGACAAAGTCTCGGATTGGGGGCGACTAAATCTAGTCCAGTTTAATCCTCAGAAGACACAAGTTTGCGCGTTTACCGCTAAAAAGAATCCCTTTGTCGTATCTCCTCAGTTTCAAGGCACTCCTCTTCTTGCCTCAGCCAGTATCGGTATCCTCGGAGTCGACATATCGAGTGACGTGCAGTTTCGTGGTCACTTGGAAGAGAAGGCCAAATTGGCCTCTAAAAAGCTTGGCGTGCTCAGCAGAGCGGGACAGTATTTCATGCCGGCACACCGCCTGCAACTTTACAAGGCGCAGGTTCGGCCTCACATGGAATACTGTTCCCATCTCTGGGCAGGGGCTCCCCAGTGCCAGCTCCTTCCACTTGACCGCATCCAGCGCAGAGCGGCTCGAATCGTCGACGACCGAGCCCTTTCCGATCGGCTCGATTCATTGGCACTGCGAAGAGATGTTGCATCTCTTTGCATTTTCTTTCGCATCTACCATGGGGAGTGCTCTGAGGAATTGTTCGGATTAATCCCAGCCGCCAAATTTCACGAACGCACATCGCGGCAGAACTCCCGATACCATCCACACCATCTGGATGATTGGCGGTCCACCACTGTGCGATTTAGAAGATGTTTTCTTCCTCGCACAACTTCCTTGTGGAATAGTTTACCACCAGGGATTTTTCCGGACCGATACGACTTAGGGACCTTCAAGAAAAGAGCCTACTCCTTTTTAAAAGGCCGGCAACGCATCTGCAATTCCCCTGGTGTTGCGGTTGTTCATGGGCGGCGGTAGTCACTTACCATCAGGTGAGCCGCATGCTCGTTTGCCCCCTCTCCTATAAAAAAAAAAAAAAAAAAACACGCTGATGACGTCACTGAATGTTTAGTCTATAAGATACTATGTCTATGTCCCCCAGACGCAGCCGTAGATAGAGGAGATACTATGTCTATGGACGCAGCGCTGTACTCGCGTGACATAGTGTTGCCATTTATAAGTAAAAATTTACCTCTTTTACATTTAGCATTTGTAATTTATCAAATAATATTATTTCCTTCAGACTTCGATGAAACTATTAAATTGTATTAAGAAATAAATACATTTTAGATAGTCTGTAATTTCATTACTCAAGCCAATACTATAACAATAGTTCAGATTAGTGAAACATGTATATTTCTGATAAGTGAAATGTATATTTGGGCATTTTTATCAAAATGTCTACCAACCCACTCATGGGATGACTTATGCAATAAGTCCATTTAACTAACGTTATTATGACTATGTAAGTGTCGTGTTATTATTAAATAGTTTCAGTGTTTAAGTGAGAAACTAAAAACAAAGCAATAAAAGCCGACGATTTTTGGTCATGATCAGTACTGGGAAACGTGGGATGTCACATTTCCTAGTTTAAGTTTATTTAAACATAAATTTTGATAGAAATGTCCATTTACATAATTTACTATATTTCTGTTATGTAAGAAGTATATTTTTATTTACTTTTATAAGCGGTGTTCTACCTACTTACAGGGAAAAGATGAGAAAATAGGGTAAAGAAAAGCATTACAATTTTTATTCAGAGTTTTATTGAATAATTGTGATCAGCGGCCATAGGAACATCACTGTCTGAAGAGTGGATGGAAACTGAATCAGATTCTGTTTCAGTATCACTAGCCGTAGATATAATTATTCGATCCATCTCTTCATCCATAAGGCCGTCATTTTTTAAATATTCCTCCTCTAAATGTTCGACATGCGTGCACTGAGCTGTCCAATCTTCCGCCGTAATAGACTCAAATGCCTCTACAGTTAATTTTACAATTTCTTTTGGATCTTGTGCCACATTCTTATCTTTATCTTCTTTTTACAAGGCTCCAGATTTTCTCCACCGGGTTGAGGTCGCAATGGTAAGGCGGCAACCTTAATACTTCGTGTCCGTGAACTGTTAATAATTCATCCACTGCAAATGTCGGTGGACCTTTATTTTGTTTGATTAGCTCAAACAGCACAGCTTTTCTCCAGGTGTCTTCAAAATATATACCCTTTTGCCGGAGCCATTCCTGCATACTACTTTTTATATTTGACATTGAAGGGGCTTTGTTTAATTGAGTGCAATGATAAGGAGCGTTGTCCATTACCACAAGCGACCTTTCAGGTAGATTAGGTATTAATTTTTCCGTCACCCATTTTAAGAAATTTGCAGACTTCATGTCATCGTGGTAATCTGAGGACTTTGATTGGGATTTAAACATTAATAATGCACCATTTATGAATCCATTTTTGTTCCCACATGAGCGATTATCCAGCGACTCTCTGATGACTCTGAGACGAACATTCCTGGCTCCTCCTCACTCTGCCAACATTTTTTTGTATGATAAGTATTGTGTATATAGGTCTCATCTAAGTATACAACGGGTCGTTTCTCCACAGTGCAATTTAATCGTATTTTATCCAAATATCTTGCACGCCATGCGGTAATGTCGTGACGTTCCATAAGTAGTTTGCGTCTGGATTGACATCGCTTGTACTTGAAACCAATCCTATTTAATATCCTGTGCAATGTTGTGATGCTTCCCTGAAAATTGATGTCTTCTCTAAGAGCTGCTCGTAATTTAGCCAAAGTTGGTAATTCTTTATGCACAACGTAAAAACTGAATTTTTTGCCGGATAGCGCACAAATCGAACCCGTCTAATTCGAATTTTTTCGGATGCGGGCGACTCTTCCCCGGGGAAGAGTCGCCCGCATCCGAAAAAATTGTCACCCCGGGGTGACAATTTTTTTCGAAGTACTCGCCGCTGTTATACCTTCTTTTGTAATTCTTGTTATAGTTTTCTCTGACACATCTGCAATTAAAGAATGAACAATTAAAAATAATAGTCACTTTAAGTTTATAATGCTTATGTACTATGTAATATACGTTTTAATTTCGGTTACCTAATTTCATCACGTTATGTATTTGTTCAATTTTGTCGCAAAACGAATTTATATCATAAAAGTCCCATCAATACAGCAAAAAATTATTACATGGCAAGTACCTGTTATGGCGGCGACTCTCTTCCGAACATCGTTCAGTGGTATTAAAACACCTTGATTCTTTTGTTCAGCTTCACAGAATTCTTTCACCTTCAATATCATTTCTCGAGCCGAACTTTTTACAACTTTTGGCATTGTAAACAATCTTTAAAATGCACTAAGCTAGTTTAAAACTCACAAAAAATCTACCACAACAAACGAACTAGATAACATCGACGAACGACAACATGGCCGACCTGTCAAATTTAGTTCCAAAAATCACCGCGGGACTTCTTTCATGAAAAGGACTTTACACAGACTTTCGAGAATAGAAAAGTTTTCTATGCTCGGAGACACAGACTAATAGGATGCTGTCAAGGAGTTTTGGCGGGAACTTGACCGGCGACGGATTGCTGCTCCTGTATAATTGTTTAAATATTGGTTTGAAGTAGATTTTGATAAGTAAAAGTGGTGCGATTTTGTGTATTAAATATCTGTGCATGTGAACTATTAGTGGAAACGGTGAAACAACCGCTCTGATGGTGATGTGATTCTCAAGATACGGTGTCTATCTGTTTAGGCGCCTTGAGATACCATCGCCAACTGTCAGCTGTCTGATGGCTCAAGTTGCCGTCAAAATCTCCCAAGGGCTGCACAATGTGACGTATCATAATATTGTGAAGCATTTTACTATGAAGCATAATTATACATTGTAACTTCAGGCTCAGAAGAGCTAGAACCCAGAGCCATAAAGCTATTTATAAAAAAAAGGATGCTGTCACCATGAAGTTATAGATAAAGATGGAGACCACACTCCTAATACCTACTTGAAACTTAACCTATGTATTACTATCTCGCTCTCTGTGGGCAGACCCTCCCTTTCTAAGTAGGTAACCTTTATTTTATTTTTCCCAGGATATCGCTATAAGTAGTTGAGTTACATTAAGTGTTTTATTTATAAATATCTATATCTCTGTTTACTACTAAGACCTAGCCTATACAGATCATATATTTTTGTCCATTTTTTTTGGGAAGTGACTAGATTTATGAAGAAAGGTTTTCATTTCCATAGGCAGAACCGGTATTAAAATATGACCACGCATTTCCGTCACAACCCATATAATGCCGAGCCTATTTAGAAAAAGTGGAAAATAAATATATCAGAGAATATTTTATAATTACCATTTCGATAATGTATTTTCTGGTTATTGTATACAATTCCTAAACGGTACCAACGAAATATAAAATTAAAATTTATTATAACCCCGGGTTATCAATGAATTGGGCAAAATATACCTGATTTATTGTTCAGAAAGACTAAATCAATTTCTGGACAATTATTAAAAAAAATATCACGAGGACTAAAGCAGCGTAGCGGAGCTCCTGCCTTAGCCTTCTGACCTAACCCATCCGAATCAGGCTGCTCTGAGCTGAAATGTGTATAATACTATATTCCACACATCCAGTTCATTTTAAGAATTATCTACAATTCCTAGGAATTCTATATAATAACGGATTTCTAGTAACATATGTACTATAATAGGAACGATAATATATTAATATTTTGAGTTGTTATTAGGAAGATGCCGCTGCCCATTTCCTGTTTCATTTTCCCTCTGACACCTCTTACAACACCCTCGGAACGATATGGGGTAGTGGATATTCTCACACCACCACTACATGGTTTCTTAAAAACCTTAAAAAAATAAATAAAAACACTTTCCATATTAAAATTATTTATTGAATTTTTCACACCATGTGGATTACTCTGTGGCTTTTTGAAGTCCTTACAGATATGAGCAAAGCGCCCTTGAATAATATTTTCAATTTCTGACTGACCCGTATACTTTTTAATAGTGTCCATTAAAGAAGACCTATCCTGATTTTTTTAGTTTGGCGCGCCACTTTTTGTTTAAGAATCTTAGTTTTCGTCTCAAGTATTTCTTCTTTAGTACACTTTATTTTTACTTGCACGCCCCTATCAATTTTCGCGGGATCGTCGTATTCACTGCTGACCTAAGAAAACAAGAAAACTTTATGAAATCAGTATTTTTAGCATCGTACATCGTATTGCTCCACTCATAAGGGTCGTAGCGTGATGTTAGATAGACTTCCTGAAGAATTGGTTTTAAAAATGCAAAAAAATATTTTCAAATCAGACTGGTATAGTTCCAGAGATTAGAGAACTCTAACAAAAAAAAGAAACAAATAACTCTTCTACATCATAATGTCAGTACAAATTTACATCACTTAATAGGTAACACATAATACACCGGAGCGCGCCTTCATGAGCACGCATAAATGAAGCATCAAACAAGAAGCTTTATGCTTAGTGTCGTAGTAACGGTTACCACACTGCGATTGGCACTAAAGAGTTTAAATATGTATGTGTTTTAAGCTATATAATACATTATGTAATGTAATATTAAAGTCATAATAAATAATTTGTATTTAAAAGGTATGTATTTAGTAATAAAGGAAAAGGACACTTACATGTAATTTGTTAAGATTGCATAAATTTTCAAGAATTTTTCGACATTGTTTTTTACTAGTTTGGTCTTCAATATTACAGCCAGTACATTTCACTTCTGTTTCCTTAAGTGCAGAACTACTTTCATAAATGCCAGAACTAGTGCTTGGTACAGCCAGAGCAGCTATTTGCACAATAGACTCTTCATGTAATGCACTTATTGTCTGCAAATAATAACATATTTTACAAAATGTTGCTTTATATGCATCTAAACTACTACATTTCTAAATACATAATTATTATAAACGTTATTAAAGTATCAGAATAATGAGAAACAAAACCTAAATAAATTCGTCATTATATAGAATATATAGGAAGTGTACATAATTCCTAAATTTCATGCATTTCCGGTAACATAATAAGGAACATGTACATATAATTAGTTAAGGTCACACGGAAAGTCTCAGATACATCATCAATATGGTCACACTACTTCAGTGCGATTTCTTTTAAACAAAAACAATAAAATTGTTCAAACTTAATTAAATTCAATGTAAAACTATTTGATTTTGACAAAGTTATAACTTATTAATATGTTTAAAACACTGATCAAACGTTTCAGCAAAAAATTAAGTGAAAATACAGAAGGTATGTTTACAAGTATTCAATGTCAGAAGTCACTATTTAAACACTTACGTGTGAAATCTTATATCACCTCCTGGACACCAACTACTGTCGCAACCACGTACTACACAAGTTTGCACCATTTCTTGAATTATAACAATAATTAACTTTAAATATCTCAAACGACGCTGTGAACTGCTAAGTAAACAACCGCCATATTTGTCTAATTTATGTTGACATATAGGGCTAATGTTGCCATATTACCGAATCCTTAGGAAATGGGATTGTAATTCACTGATTCATGAACCCAATAATGCATACGAGACCTTCAATTTTGGAATTTTTAATGTAACTAATCGTAGATCAACTATTTATTTGTTGGTATATTATTTTACAAAGCTTAACTTCTGATTTAGTTAGTGTGGAAATTATTTCTAAGAATTTACCGGGAGATTCAAATAAAAACATAGCAATATTGTGTTCCACACTAAAAAGAGAAGTCAGACCACAGAGAGTGAGATAAAGATACGTAGGTATTTGACTCAAGCTGTTGTTCCAAGTGTGGCCTCCATCTTTATCTATAACTTCATGGCTGTCACATTAACATGCTCATAGACACGACCACCGACCACACGACTATACTCGATATGTTAGGTTTTTATCAATAATCTGTGTGCAGTACCACAGAATACATGTACCCCATAGATAAATAAATATGTAGCAAGCCCATAGATAAATAAAGATGTATCCCGACGGGTGCACGGTGCAGTACCATCTCTACTAGTATTATACAGTAATCTATGTTCAGTACGTTTCCAGAAAATGGTTGGATTGTGTGTTGAAGTCTGACACGTATTTCACAAAAAATCGTAAATAATTTATGTAAGAAAAGTTTACTATGCTTTTGTAATACTTATAAGTATATAATTTTTAATGAAAAACAGAATCAATAAAAATGGAATTCCGAGAAACGTTATTGGCTGCACAACGAAATCAACAACAAAAATCATCCGTGAGTTTGGTTTTCATTTTGCATTTTGCATGTTTCTACTAAATGTCCAAAGCGATAAAAGTTTATTATCATCAGTTAATAAAATATCTTAAATAAATCTATTAAATTGTTACCATTGTTTTTACAGGAAAATTGTTACTATAAAGCTCGTTTCGATCCTCCTAAAAAGGAGCAAAAGATAAAAGATAGACTATCAGCAAATATACAAAAATTTTTGGCTAAAAAAGAAGAGGAAGAAAGGCAAAAAAAGTTAGAGGCGCAAAGAAAACGTGAAGAATTAATTGCTATGCGCGATCCTAAGGCTTTGAGGAAGATTCAAAAGACTTTAAAAGTAATTAAGTCTGCCAATAAGTCTGTAATAGAGGATGCAGTAGATAGAGATAACACAGCAGTCACCCGGGAAGGGCCTGATCAACCTGACCAAGATGACTATGGCTATGAATCCCAAGAGGCTGCTGCTCTCTATGAGAAAATGATGCAAAAGTATAGTAAAATACCAGATGAACCAAAATTTCCCACTAAAAGTAAGTAGGATAATTTGTATACATTTTTGGAAATTATCCAAAATAATTTTTCTAGTACAGATATCTGTACTGGATATCTATATTGGTATTTTTAAATTAAGAAGGGATAGTAGTGAAGTGAGTTTTTGGTTATAAAAATATATATGATAATATGTATCCATTTTTGACCATTTTAAATCAAAAATTTACATACATATGTCATACAGTATAACCTTGATATACCAAGGGCTATATTGTTATAATAAAAACCTTCATATAACAAGCCTCAATATAATGAATTTCTCAATTTAATGAATTTTTCGAAATCCCCTAGAACTGCCTGTAAGAGCTAATGCAAATTATACCACTACATTACGAATACATTTTATTTTTAAAAAACTTCTTTATAACAATTTTTTAATCATTGCAGAATATAGATAGAAGGTATATTAACGGTGGTAGAGCCACGCGGCAGCTTTTGCTATTACATGTATGGGTCTGCTCGAGCCGGGTTGGTATCACAACCTCACAGAATACCAACGTAAAGTGGAAGCTCTGCTTCTGCTTTTCATCTGGTAATTGCAGGTGGCCGATGCCCCCCCCCCCCTTCAACATGGTAGCAGAATTAAATGAAAGACTACCCCCAGGAAGACCAACACCCCTGGAGAATCCCTCGCTGAGCATCCACGACCAAGCTACTCTACTCCTGAGCGTGGGTGCTCAAACTGCCCTGCGTATTGGGGGGGGGCATAATTCCTCTCGAACAATAACTGCTGCTCTGGGCAAACTGAGCAACAAGACCAAGGCAACCCCTACCATGCTGTCCATGAATTTCGGCAACATCAAGGGACTTTACTTGCACCTAAACGCTGTCGACTATCATCTCAAGACGGTGAAGCCGGCCTTGCTCTTTCTGACTGAGATGTAGGTGTCCTCTCTGGCTGATACTTCGTATCTTTCCTACCCGGGGTACAAATTGGAACACTCCTTTGTGCCTCGGGCTGGAGTTTGCATATATGTCAGAGAGGACATCTGTTCTCAACGTCTCGGCAGTCTTGACGGTTCGGACCTGTCCATCCTCCGGTTACGCGTAGACAGTGACGACTATTCGCACGTCTATGTCTTTATAGGTCCCATAGTGGTAATGCTGAAATGACCGACTCATCTACCAAGTCCAAATGGCTACAAATCCTTACTACAACAAGTCCTATCTGCAGAGATCGTGATCCCTGGCGATTTTAACGCCGAATGGCTCAGTTCACGTTTAACCAATCATGCGGGGAGATCTGTTCATAATTTTGCCTTGTTTGCATTGTCTGCCACAACTGGTTACTATGCCTACGCGGATTCCAGATGTGGAGGATCATGCACCTTCCCTGTTGGATCTTCTGTTGACCTCTCATCTGGACAGATATCAGGTCTTCGTCGATGCCCCTTTTGGCTCCTCGGACCATTGTCTATCTAGTCTGGAGTGTGGTGCCACTCCCACTGAAATCGTGGTTCCTTTCTGCAGGCTACCGAGGTGTTTGGCACTATAGGTTGGCCGACTGGGACGGGATGTGGTCTTTCTATGCATCCTACCATTGTTTGCTTCTCGCTGGACGATTCCAACGTTGTTGCTAATTCTGTTGCTGATGTGGTAGTTCAGGGTATGGAACTTTTTATTCCTTTCTCTGTGGTGCCCATCGGTGGCAGATCTCAGTCATGGTTTAATCACTCCTGTAAAATAGCATCACGCTACAAGCAGAAGTGCTACCGGGTCTGGACTGACACATCAATGTCCCGGGATGTAAATGTGAGTGACCTTAAAATGAAGTATAATTCCGCCTCCAGGTTTTTCAAAAGAGTCATTGCCAACACTAAGTCAGAGCACACGGAATTGGCGAGTAACTAGTTCACCTTCCTTCGGCAACCCGTGCATTCTGGTCTCATCAACGCTGTCGAAGGGAACTTCTGTCAGCCATCTCTTCCATCTCTGAACAGGGACGACGACTCACTGGTCCATGCCGCAAGAGAGAAAGCCGATCTGCTTAGGCTCTTTCTTTGCGTCCAACTCGACTCTTGATGACGGGGGGAACACTCCGCCGACCATCCCGCGGTGTGCCTATGTGCTCCATGCCAGATGTGCGGTTCACACAACGCTTGGTTCGCAAAGCACTCCTCTCCCTTCACATCCACAAGTCGAGTGGGCCTGACGGAATCCCACCAATTGTGCTGAGGACGTGTGCTCCAGAGTTGCCACCGGTTCTAACGCATCTTTTCCGTTACTCCTACTCCCTAGGCATAGTCCCGAAAACATGGAAGACAGCTTTTGTCCACCCGATCCCTAAAAAAGGTGACCGCTCAGACCCGTCTAACTACAGGCCTATCGCCATCCCCTCCTTGTTTTCCAAAATAATGGAATCCGTTATAAACTGCCAGCTCTTGCAATACCATGAGGATCACCAGCTGATTAGTGACCGCCAATACGGTTTTCGTCGGGGTTGATCAGCTGGTGATCTTCTGGTCTACCTGACTCATAGATGGGCGGAAGCAGTAGAGTCCAAGAGGAAGGGATTGGCCGTTACTTTGGACATTACAAAGGCCTTCGATCGGTTTTAGCACAAAGCACTTCTTTCGAAGCTCCCTTCCTATGGGCTTCCTGAATATTTTCAAATTCCCTTCAGTTTCGTTATATCGAGTTTGTATTGTATATATCACAGTGATAATTAGTTTTGACTCAAAAGTAATATTTGCGAATTTAGATTAATCTTGGTTCTCTTCCTAATCTGTTTGTCTCATAAACCAACTTCAAAAACCTACACTTTCTTATTGCAGCACTTAATATTGTATCCGTGAGGTCATGTGCTAATGATTTAAGTCAATATTTCTAAGGTTTTTCTAAAATATTTAAAATTTACATTTGACCTAAGTATTGTCTTGTCTTGTATTGTCGTCAGTGGTGTGTCTTTCCTAGTATAGTGGTGTTGGGAGTAGTGGTGCTGGGATTAGTGGTGACGTTGATAGTGCACGCAATTGAGGGAGGGCGGGAGGTGCTCTTCAAACTAGGTAAGACACATCATTTTATTTTATCGAGCGGATGTACGCGAAGTAATTTTTTACCAACTTTAATATAATGGGATTCCACAAAGTAATGCCTGATTCTATTAATTACGCCACTGTCGCTGGGTGAACACCAAAAGCGTGCAACTGATTCCGTGACACTCCTAAACGGGCGTACCATTACGCAAGCAAAGCCGGCCGGTATTACCGCAGACGTGGGGGGGGGGGGGGACTCTCCTTCATACCCATCGTTGCTTCGTCTAGTCGCCGAGTTGACTCACTTTTAGTATTTATTACACATATTATGCCCTTGTTAAGAAAATTATATGTTTGGTTAAAAAACCTACTAATAACTACGAGGGTGGATTGAAAAGTACTCGGCCTAACACAGATCCATTCAATTCTAAAAATCAAATCTACCCACATTATTTAGTTCAGTTCAGACTAGTTCATTGTGTGAAGTTCGAAACGTGTGCGATAATTAGTTGTGATTTTATAAATTTATTAACAAAGTAATCGGACATAATTTCCGCGAATGGAGCAAATCGAGCAGCGTGCCGTCATTAAGTACCTCCATAAGAAGGGGCTATCATCAAAAGCCATCCATGATGACATGGTCAGTACATTAGGCGATTGTGCTCTGTCATATTCATCCGTCAAAAAATGGATAGCAGAATTTAAGCGTGGTAGAGAGAGTGTGAAAGATGAACCCCGCTCTGGAAGGCCTTCGACGTCAACTACTGACGAAAATATTAAAAAAGTACTTGATTTAATAATGGGAGACCGCAGATTAAAAATTAGAGAGATAGCCGAGATTATAGGCATCTCTTATGAACGAACTCAAAACATCATTGTCAACGAGTTGAGTTTCCACAAGGTGTCTGCGAGGTGGGTTCCGCGACTGCTTTCAGTTGAACAAAAAAGGACGCGATTGACTATTTCACGCGACTGTTTGGAGTTATTTGAAGCCGATGCAGATGATTTTTTGAATCGTTTTGTTACTATGGACGAAACATGGATTCACCTGTACTGTACACCAGAAACAAAACAACAATCAAAACAGTGGAGAAGACCTGGTTCACCACCCCCTAAAAAGGCTAAGTCGATTTTGTCGGCAAATAAGGTGATGGCTTCAGTATTCTGGGACTCGAAAGGTGTGATTATGATTGATTATCTTGAAAGGGGTCAGAATATAAACTCTGATTACTACTGCACCTTACTACGTCGTTTACGAGAGGAAATAAAAGAAAAACGTCGAGGAATGCTCAGAAGAAAAGTCCTGTTTCATCAAGATAACGCCCGTGTTCACACGTCAGTACAGTCAATGGCTGAAATTCACAACTGTGGCTTTGAACTGTTACCGAATCTGCCGTATTCACCTGATCTGGCACCATCAGACTTCTTTCTGTTCCCTAACCTAAAAAAGCACTTGGGAGGTCAAAGATTTTCGACAAACGACGAGGTCAAAGCAGCTGTAGACGCATATTTTGACTCTAAGGAAGAATCATTTTTTTCAACGGTCTAAATGCTTGCAAGGGGAGGTGGCAAAAGTGTATTGAACTTGATGGTGATTATGTAGAAAAACAAAAATATAACTGATTTAGTATGTGTTTATTTTCTTGGTTAGGCCGAGTACTTTTCAATCCGCCCTCGTATTACTATATTTACAATAACATATAATATAACATTATGTAATATGTGGCTATAACATAACTGGTCACTAATTATCTGCAACATTAAGCATAACATCAACTATTTGTATAGTGTAAAATGATGTCATTATGTACAGTTATAGGCTATATAAAACACCACTGCTATGAACAGGCTTACTTATTCTTGAGAGGGTTATGGAGCAATTTATCTGCTGTCCTGCTCCACTGTGTCTTACCGAATTGACTTGTTCATGATACATTCTATTCCTCTGTCATGCAGGTTTCCTTATGATATTTTTCTTTACCATCAATAAAATGTTAAATAAGCAATTTTAATTGCAATTAACAATTTCTTATTGGTCTGGCAGGATTCAAATGCAATTTGATCACACACTACGAGGTTTTCATCTTTTCAGTTTTTGAAGTTGGCGTTAGTTTTTTACTGAAAGTTAATTTTTTGAATCTTTTGAGTGAACTAAGGAGTATCACAATTTCAATGTTGTCTAAATAGTTACATTAAAAACTTTATCCCCTATTTTTCTGTCCTTAGGATGGAATGTTCACTCAAAAACTCATATGGGACCCACCTTTGAAGTATAATTTATTAATAAAAAAAAAGAATTTTCAAAATCGGTTTACAATTGACAAAGATATTGCATAACGTACGTGCAAAAAAAACATACAGTGGAATTATAAACCTCCTTCTTTTTTTGAAATTGGCTAAAAATAGGTAAGAGGGTAGTTCTACCCAGCTCCTAGGCAGTAAAGAAGTCCTCATCACTTAGTCAGCACTACCACCACTTTGTATCACCAATCTATTTCAGTTATTATTGAAACTGGTTGTAATTATTATTGGAATTCTATGGAAGTAGTATACTCTTTTCAAAAATTCAACAAAATTAGTTTAAAGCCGCGTCTCCACGAAAGTTTTGTTGCCAACACAACAGTTGGTAACAAAATTTGAAACAATGAATACGCTTGTTGCAAATTTGATTCCTCAGCGGAGACGCTTGTTGGAAACAGTTGTAAATAGTTGTCAACATTTTTAGTGGATACGCGGCTTTAAATTGTAAATAATATATTGATCGTTAGCAGGCCTCTGTCACTCTTGCTACTTGCGTGAAATAATTACCTACAATCGTGAGACGCCCCGGGCTACATACGCAGTCGGGGCTAGAGCGTTCTAGGTCTAGGCGATTGAATGTTTAAGTTGTTGCTGTTTACTTAAATACTTTTGAAATCTTTTTTTTTATTTTTTTTAATGTTTAGTATATTTAATTGTAGGATAAAATAATTGAATTTTGTTAATGTAATTTAAAAATAATATATATGTATATTAACTATCTATTTGATAAATTATAATGGCAAAACGTCGTTCCTACTATAATTGTTGCGTGGATGGATGCTTAATGAGCAAACAAAATAATTCAGATATATAATTTTTTAAGTTACCGAAGGATAATAAAAGGTGAATTTATTTCATATTTATTTATTTTTTGTGAGGTATTTACAGCGAAAAAGAATTAAGTAATAATTTTACTACACAAGTTAAATTATTACTTAATTCTTTTTCGCTGCAAATACCTCACAAAAAGTAGTTCCTAAGTATTTTATTACAAAACTTAGTTGAAATTTACTTCACTATCCAAGTACCTACTTACTTGTCTTTTGTAATTAAAATATTTTAAGTTATAATAACACAAAATACTGAAATTAAAACTTTGTTTACAAGATTCTTAACTAATTAGAATACAATCACATTTCTGTTAGGAATCATATTTCGGGTTTAATTGTTGTTTACACTCTTTACCTATTTCTTCCGAGCCAAGCATCGCGATTCCCGACGAATGGTCTTGCAAATTGTATGCGTTGGAAGTAAGAATTCACATAGTAGCGAAAATATGGTCGATCATAGTCTAAATAGGTGTTTTACCTAAGTTTTTTTATATAGAATAAAGGTTACAAACGATCACACAGTCCACCTGATGGTAAGTGGTTGCTTTGGCCCATAGACATCTACATCTATCTTCGTTTGCGAATTAAAATGCAGATGCGTTGTCAGCCGTGAGGACTAAGATAGAATGCCTCATTTCCAGTAAAATAGGTCTCCGGTTCTCTACTCTCACCATACGAAACAACTATTTTACGCTGGTATTCTGTGAGAGCGTGGTCCTTCCCCGGTCGAGCCGACCCATTCGTGCTACAACTATACTATTAATATAGCTGCAGCATGGCTCTACCACGTAAAAACTTGCGTACCATTTCGCAATGTATTTGTTTACTCTTTATTGACAGCCATTAGTAACCATGCAAAGTCCGGACACGTGCGCGCAGCGATAGTTTTATTTAGCTTGCGTGCGCGATTTATCTAATTAATAATAATTATGTAGGCTATTAAAACCGTCGGCAAGCAGTCAACATCAAAGGAGTGCAACTTATGTACGTAGTACTATTATTTATTCTGTGTCGTAAGTAAACATGAGTGAAAGAAAAATTACATGAATCCAGTGAACAGTCCACTAATTATTGTAGTTCTCTACCAAATTGGGTATCTACAATCTCAGCCTTTTTACTGTGTAGTAATTGTGGTGTAAGATTTACCCCATAACGTCCCATGGACATAGTAAGAGGTGACAGAGGAAAACCAACCAGAAGATGGGCAGCAGCTTTCTTTCTAATAACAAAAAATAAATAAAAAACACTTTAGTAAATATATAATATCTAAATCTATGGGAGAGGCCTATGTTCAGCAGTGTGCTTTTAATAGGCTGTAACAGTAACGATAATTCTAGCTATGTACTAGTGTACTAATTTATATAATTGTGGTTACAGATAATTCAGTAAGCAAAGATCTCAATGGTACTAGGGAGAGAGTCAGAAATGCCTTGCTACATGAAGATGACCCAGTGCCACACAAAAGGAGACGTAAAGGTGAAAATAATGGTATGTATTTTTTAAATTAACTTTTGTAGTTATTACTTTTAAGATTTTTGGTTTTGTTTGATATCAATAAAATTGTATAGACCTGTATTATTTTTGATTTTATCATAGACACTCCGAAAAGTCGTTATTTATTAAGTGGCAGGACTGTTTTTCTGCTTAGGAGTCTGTCTGGTTAAAGCAGAGATGTTCCAGATAGGAGTGTTTGCACTGCTGTGTTTCAATCGGAGGGTAGAGAGAGCCAGTAAAATTACAGACTGTGGTCCTTCCATCTTAGTCATTAGACATGACAAAGCACCTGTAGCCCTCTTTGTTTGAAGTAGGCTGCAGGTGTCTATGGAATGTATAAATTTTTCTATACCTTAAAGGATCCATAGTGGGTCGGATCGACCGGGGGAGGACCACGCGCTCACAGAATACCAGCTGAAAATAGCAGCTTAATGCTGCTATGTTTCGTATGGTAAGTGACCTTTTTTACTGGAAATGAGGCAATCCATCTTAGTCCTAACGGCTGATAACGCACCTGCATTTTGATTCGCAAACGAGGATAGATGTAGATGTCTATGGGCCACAGCAAACACTTACCATCAGGTGGACTGTGTGCTTGTTGGTCACCCTTATTCTATTTAAAAAAAAACAACAGTAGTGTTTTAACTTAACATAATTTTTTATTTTTTTTATTACCGCCGTGTTGGCGACATAAAATAATTTATCATGAGCCTCCAATAGATGACAGTATGACCACCTTGTCTTTATATCAGATGTAAAATAATTAAAATAGCCAAGGGGAAGAAAACGTTAACGTTACAAAACATTATTTATTACAATCGCCAATCCACCTGCCATCTGTGGTGATTCTAGCAATGTACATTTTAAGAAATTAACAGTGATAGCTGAGGGGTTAAGTCATCATTGCAGCCCTTCACAAGTCCACTGCTGAACATAGGCCTCTCCCAAGGAATGCCACAAAGTACGGTCCCGAGCCACCTGCATCCATTGTCTTCCTGCATGTCTTACCAGGTCGTCACTCCCATCTAGTGGGGGAAGCCCTACACTTCGCCTGCCGGTACGAGGCTGCCATTTCTCCCCATCAGTTGTCGGTTCTTCGAGCTATATGGCCGGCTCATTGCCACTTCAGCATACTAATTCTTTGGGCTATGTCGGTTACTCGAGTTCTACTGCGGATATCCTCGTTTTTAAGTCTCAGAGATCACGCAGAGAAACGCTGAGCATAGCCCTCTCCATAGCTCGCTGAGCGACCTTCAGCTTCCTCATACGGCCAGCAGTGAAGGACCACGTCTCAGTTCCATAGGTCATTACTGGCAACACGCACTGGTTGTACAGTCTCGTTTTCAAGTTTTGAGGTATACCTAACGAGAAGATGTTGATTGACCTCTCGATTAAAGTTGGACTTTCCTAGTCGGTCTATTTGTCCCATGTAAACATATTCGTCAACAACTTCGAGCTTAGTGCTCCCAACAACTACCGGCATAGGTGTGACATGGACATTAAACATGATTTTTGTTTTGTCCATGTTCATCTTAAGACCTATCCGTTGGGAGACACTATTGAGGTAATTGAGCATAGTGCTTAGGTCCTCAAGCGATTCCGCCATAAGGACTATGTCGTCGGCAAATCGAAGGTGAGTGATGTATTCGACAGGTTAATACCGTATCCTTTCCAGTCCAGTAGCTTGAAAACGTCTTTCAATGCAGCGGTGAAGAGTTTCGGGGATATTACGTCACCCTGTCTTACACTTCTCTGCGGTTGGATAGGTTTCGTACTCTGGTTCTGTACTCAGATAGCCATCGTAGACCTACTGTACAAACACTTCAGCCTTCGATATACCGACAGTCAACTTGGCAGCACCGCCCAAATTTCGACGGAATCAAAGGCTTTTTCATAGTCCACATACGCAAGATTGTACAGAAGTAGCAGATTGTACTCTTCGGTATTCTGTACAATTTGCCGAAGGGTATATATGTGGTCTATGGTGCTAAAGCCTTTTCGGAAACCGGCTTGTTCGGGGGGCTGGAAGTCTCCGAGTTTGCATGCGAGACGATTCGTAATGACTAGAAATCGGCACGTAGACGCAGCTTAGAAGGGAAATCGGTCTGTAGTTCTTCAAGAGAGCGTTGTCGTCTTTCTTGAAGAACAAGACCACCGTACTTCTGCTGCACACCTCCGGAGTAATGGATTGGAGGACGGAATTAAAGAGCTTCTGAAGCACTTTAAGTACTGGTTTTCCACCTGCTTTCAGAAACTGCTGTAATTCCATCGTCGCCCGGAGACTTGCCGTTTTTAAGGTGCTGGAGAGCCATTCTAATCTTGCTCAGACTGACGTCCGGGATATCATCGGAATAGTGTCGGATAAGATTTGATCTTGGATCGTTACTCACACTTGCGTGTGGCTCCGACGATGACGTATACAGCTGCCAATAGAGCCTCTCAATCTCACTCAAAATTTTAGGTGTCTCGGAAACGATGCTGCTACATTCAAGAGTTAAGTGCTTGCCGTAAATTTCGGAGTATATATAATTTTAATTTGTATGACCATTAGAAATTTTTTGGTTAATTTCTTCTTCATCAGCTAGTTCAAATCCACTGCTGTTTATAGACCTCTCCAGTCAGATTTGCCTTTATCGCAGCAATGCGGATTAGTTACTGCAATACCAGACGCCTGGTGTCAATAAGATGGTTATGCGGCCATCCATCCATAGCTGTACGACAAATATTTTTGATTTCTTATATTTACGCGAACACTACACATTTAAATAAAACTAATTTTGCGGATTTTATCGCGTATATTAACTTATTTTATATTTCAAAAAAATAGTACTCGGTTTTTTTTGTATCTGGAATAAAGTAATGTTGGTAATAATTTCAGATCACCAGCCTTTTTACATCTACCAGCTAGCTAGCATTTTCAAGACATGCCCATACTATCCATACCTAGTTGTTGCGTAGATTCTTTCGTACGGTAATGCCGCTGCTCCTCACCACCAGTTTGTGAATGTTGGCATTTTTGGATTTTGTAATGGATGGTTCATTGCAGTATTGCTTTCATTGTTTTACTTCCTAACTTCCTATGGTAATTGGGGTAAGATTACATCCAATTACTATTATTCATATAATACCAGAAAGGCATCACATTCTGTATCTTTAAATATATATATCGTTTAAGTCAGTCAGTCGAAGTTTTTTAAGAATCAATTTAAGCTTCTATTTATATGAATTTTTTTCTGGTGGTAGACTTTGATGTGTTTGAAAAGTCTCGTAAGTAAAACTCGTACGGGCAGCATTTCAATGTTGATAGAGTAATTATCACATAACGCGGAATCGCCGCGCCTCCGCTACCATATCTCTGGTGGTTCGACAAATTTCAAGAAATTTTCAAATCCAAGCGTGTCAGTGGACGTCGTTATTTACGCCTACCAGAACACGCACTATAACAGGGACGCGGTATGAGTCGATATTTTATATCGATTTTTTTATGAGCCCACTTACCGATTTTATAGAGCAAAAGCTTTCGATTTTGGCTTGGTCTGGCTTTGATTAAAACTGACAAGTCGACGAGTCACGTTAATAAAACGTGAGCCTATGTGAGTATTATAACGAAAATAAAACAAATCTACTCTTCAAAAGAAATATTTAATTAGAATAAGTTTTTGTTTCAGCATCTGTAGATCTGTCAGATGTTTCGCTAGTTTTAGCAATTTTATTATCCAGTTTATCTAATTTTGGATCTTTTTTTGACGCGTCTTATACAATTTTGCCATTTTTTACACATAATAAACACAGCAAACTTAACCTTAAAACTACACAATATGAACTACATATTAATAATAAATAATATCTAATTAACAAAGGAATGAGTAGTGTTACATGCGATTAGAGAATAACAATGTCAAGTTTGTGTTCTTTGGTTTGTCATTATCTTGACACACACATGCACAAGAAGAACAATCCTTATTGTTATAGCTAATATATAATATATATGCGCGGAAGACTATCGAAATGTTTATGCTATTAACCTTTAATATTAATTATATGTATATATTATTGTGATATTAATTAATTAAAATTATATTACACTATTGTCATCTCGCTCTCAGTTTACCAACATCATGAATTGATTTGTATTTTATATTGATTTTATTTTATATTGATATATTGATTTTTGATGACTTGCTTCGACTCATAGTTGACTGTAGCCTCCATCAGACTCCTTAGTATGTGAATGAACGTAGTATGGTGTTCACAGTTAAAAGCTTTATAGGGATTACAGAAAACAACCATGACACCTTAAACATCCCCCATTATTCCCTCACTTTTTTGATTATCCTCCCTTAGTATTATAAATTAAACACTAACCATAAATATATATTCCAGAGAAAGAACTAAGTCCACCACCAAAATATGAGCCAGAGAAGAAAAAGGAAGAAAAGTCCGAAAAACCAAAAATAAGAAAACCTGCTCCGCCACCAATGGACTTCAACCAGCTGCTAAAACTTGCTGAAAAGAAGAAGAGTGAACCAATTGACATTGTTACCAAAAAGCAAGTGATAGAACCAGAACCTGACCGTCTTATGACCAAGAAACAAAAGAGGGAGTACGAAGAAGAAATGGCTCGACGTCAACGTAGGCAGGAGCGAATTGAAGCTGAAAAAAGTGGGAACCGAAAAGGTAAGTCTATATTCAAAATGTTTCCATTTAGAACATAGACTGTAACTAGTTATTAGGGAGAAAAAGAGAAAATATGCACGAAAAATCTTAAAACTTTTCAGAAGAGGTGTCGTATGGAAACCCTTGCACTAGCAAAACCATGATTTAGAATTTGAACAAATTGTAAGCAAGGCGAAGGCTTGTTTGAAGACAATCCCAGAACGGGACGGGATTTCAAAATGAAACAACTTGCAGTAATGACGATAATAAATGAATTACGCCACACCAAATTTTCTTGCCTTAGCCATCTAGACATAACTTCCTCGTCACTATCACTATCTTCCGTCAAATTTTATTATAACATTGCATTTTTTATAGTTTTTGTTAGGAACAATATATCTGACGAAGCGCGTTGACTGATACTGACAAGTACCTAAAATACTAGTGATTAAACATAATATTCCAAATATAAAGGCCGATCATCAGTCGTCATAAGAAACGATAGGCCACAGACCATATTAAATTATTCTTGGCATAGCTCTGTTATTCCATACGAAAGGGTGGTTTAGTAAATATTCCCGAATAGGCTCGCTTTTCGTATAATTGCAAATGGTAAAACGTAAAATAACTGGTGATTTATTCTAAGAATTAAAATTTATCATCCACCCTTAAAGGTATATTGAATAATATAAATTATAATGTTAATTTTGAAATTCATATTTCTTTTTAAAATAAAACATATTATCGGTATCGTTTTCGAATAATTCTAGGATGTGCATTTCGGAAATATAGCTTAGGTAAAAACGGTTACTAAGCAATAGTCAAATAAAAATAGACTCAGATATTTTTAGGACGAAAATTCCATTTTAAGCAAAGAGAAAATCTTTTAATTGGGCACCATACATACACAAAAAAGACAGTTGGCGCGTTTAGCAATGCACTTATGGTGGACTGTAATGATGATGATGATGATGTGAAATCCACCCGTAATTTAAAAAGTGAGTAAAAAAAAGTAAAGTGTGAGTAGATATGAAAAAAATGTATGCAATAATTGCGCTATCTAATTTCAATGATGTAGGTGATGTAAAAGTTATTTAAGTTATACTTGTAGGTATGTCATTCTCTACATCTACTACTTATACCTTTTTTCTTTTTAAAACCTTAGGTTCAGATAAAAATTTTATAATTTATTTATTATTACTCTTTTAGTTCCAAAAGATGACAAGCCTGTAGAAAGGGAAAAGAGACCAGAACCTAGTAGTATTGGTCGTATACCCAAGCTCGGAGATAAAAGCTCTGGAAATCACAAGAATCACTATATAAAAACGTCTGATAAGGAAAAAGAAAGGGCCATTAGTGATAAGGAAAAAGAAAGAGCCATTCGTGATAAGGAAAAAGAAAGAGCCATTAGTGACAGAGAAAAGAAGGAAGCATTAATGGCAGAAAAGCTTCAAAGAGAAAAAGAGAGAATAAGGTTGGAGAGGGATAAAGCAGAACAAGAAAAAGAGAGGTTAGATAGGGAAAGGTTAGAAAAATTAAAAGCTGAGAGAGAAAGAATTGACAGAGATATTGACCGACTTAATAGAGACAGGGATAGATTAGAGAAAACAAAATCTAAACTCGAAGCTAAAACAGAGAGAGTAAACAAACCTACAAATAGCACAGTAGATAGGTCAAAATTAAATGCTAGAGAGCAACCGGTAAAACACGAGATAAAGAAGAGCATAGACTTAAAGAGTCAAAATACCTATCGGATAGATAAAAATTTAACGGAGAAAAAGATCTCTATACCTAGTAAAAGTGGTGACACAAGGCACATAAATGGTCACAGTACCCATGGAAAACCAGTGCCAAATCCAAATAAAGAACCACAGAGGAATGATGTCAAAGACAAAGTTCTACAATCAAAACAAAAAACGTTATTTGGTGAGGGATCACTGAAAAACAACGGACATGTTAGGCCTGATGGTGCTAAACGAGTACAGGAAAGTAGCAAAGAAATGCCATCAAAAAGATCTGAGGACAAGAAACCAATATCGACTAGCAAATCTCTTGCAAGTGCCAGCAAACCGAAAATTGCAAACAGCTTCGACTTTGATAAGCATGTTAATTCAATTGGAGCGCGACAGTTTCCACCCGGTAACGTTCGGAGGAAACCTCATCCTGACGATTTGAAAAGAAAAAAACGTAAGTATAACAACACTAATTAATATCATATTGTTTTCCCTAAGTCAGTCCTTTATTTTTAACCGACTTTAAAAAATGGAATAGCTACTCAATCAGATTGTATTTTTTTGTGTGTTACCTCAGAACTTTTTCTGGGTGAACCGATTTTGATGATTCTTATTTTATTTGAAAGCTGGTGCATTTCATGTGGTAAATTTGACCTAGCTGGTGCTTTTCATGTGATAAATTTGACCAAGATCTGACTAGTAGTTTTTGAGTTATTCTTAATAATGCGTATTTAATTGACTTTGACTAGATTGTTGATGTTCTGATTTTATTTATATTGAAGTCGGTTGTACAAAATTTTTCAATTTACCGCTTGTTGACTTAATCCAGAGGTATAATTACATCTTAATAGAGTTTGGAGAATATATTCTTATGTGAAAACTATTAATAAGAAAATTCAAACTAGTATATATTAATTAAAATAAAATATAAATTAAATAAATTGCTTAAATATTTTAAAGTTAATAAGTTGCTTTTCTATTGTTATTGTTTCCAAATATGTATGAATCTTTTATACACTTGTATAATTAGTTTTAACAACAATCTGGTTAGGCTAGGCCTATATTATATGATATATTAAGCATAGTTTGTTTTTGAATAATAATATGCTTGTTAATTGATGATTATTGTATTTTCAGGCCGCATGGTGGATTCTGAGTCGGACTACGATTCCGAAATGGATGACTTTATTGATGACGGGGATGAAAATATTGATTATTCTACCCATATCAAGGAGATATTTGGTTACGACAAGTCGAAGTATGTTTTTTATGTTTTGTTATCATTAATAGAAAAGACTCTTATAACGAATAAAATTACGAAATCATATAAATTTACGTAAGGGATTTTACCTCTCAAATTAACAGTTATTGACTGTTAATTTGTTTAGGAGCATTGTCAGTAAAAACGTAATGTTGATGTAGTGATTACAAAGTTTACTTTATTACTTGATGCAATATTTTTCTTCCTATCTCTTGCGTAGATATGATGTATTTTTGATAATGTAAAATTATGAAAAAAAAATGCATTTATTTGTTAATTTAATAAATTCGGTAAAAAACTTAATTATGAAATATATATTCTTCGTTTTTCAGTAATATATATTTTATATTAAAAACACTAACATATTTGTTACAAACGTTAGTCAGAATATTATTTTCGTTTTAATACCTACTATTTTTATACTGTGATTTTATTTATTTATTTTTAAATTATGGTGTCTTTTAACTAGATATCGAGACATTGATGACGATGACGACCCAATGATGGAATCAAGTTTCGCACGTCAGCAACGTGAAGAATACATCAGCAAGAAAATTGGTACGTATACATTCTACATATTTATTTGTATCTTAAATGTAGGTAGGTATTATGTAACAACATCATTATTCGTTTAGTGATTGCACAAACGACATTGTGACTAATCTAATAATGGAAAACATTAAAATATTTTCATTTGTATATATCGTTGATTCAGCTCAGCACAGAAAAATAGACCGAACACTGCATACATTTCAAGTGATATCAAAACTATGCTGAAATTCTTGACACGCTTTCACATTCCTTTTTTTGGTTTAACAGCACGTAAAAGTAAATTTCACTGCACGGACATTATATGCATTTAAACATATAAAATGTGCATGTAATATGCGGACATATTTCATACACTTATATAATTAGTTTATATATTGGTTTCAAATAATATATGTTGGATGCGTGAGTAGATAAGTTGAGAATGGTTTAGACTTGGTTGAGGCGTCATTTGAAATCTTTGTAGCGCTCCGTCTATCGTTTGTCTGAGGTCTTCAATGGAAATGGAGATAACTCCCACCAGTTTATAAAAATGTTACTTTTATATTATTTTTTTTACAAAAAACTACGCTTACGAATTTTATAGCGTTTAATTATAACTACTTCGTCGTAATTTTATTTAGTGTTTTACCGACTAAATCGCATTGTTTCGCATTTTTTTTTAAATTGGGAAAAATTATTAAATATGGCTGTTACCAATTGCTATGTGTGTAGTGGATACGATATAACTTGCAAATGGTAGTAACAAAGAGGTTTTTGATATTTTCTTTTTATAAATTCTTTTGTTTATTGTGTTTTAAAAATATATTTCTCAACTCAATTATAAAATTTATACGACGAATAATCATTTATTTCATGCAATATTTACGCATCTAATGCAACACACACTCACGCGCCTCACATGTGTTCACTTACACCCACTCACCTGCTATGTTTTTATCCGCGTACATTTAACACAGTACAGTATTCAAAAAACCAAACTATCATTTAAATTATAAAGAATTGATTATAAAAACAATGAAATGGTAAAGATTTTTTTTAATAGGATAAGGGTGATAAACGAGCACACAGTTCCACCTGATGTTAAGTGTTCTGTGAGATCGTGGTCCCTCCCCCGTCGACCCAACCCATTCGTACTACAACCATAACATAACTGTAGCATGGCTGCACTGGTAGACTGGAAGATGATCTCGGAAATGTAGAATCCGTTTAATTATTGTATTATTTATAATAAATTTATATTTTAATTTAGGTATCTTGGAAGACTTGGAAGACATGCGAATGGAAGCGATGGAAAAGAAAAAATCAAAAAAGAGGCGGATTAGCGATGACTGAGAGCAGCATTAACACTACGGACGTTTCGGACCAAGATTATACCATATTAAATTATTATGTATTTCGCTTTGTATTGTGACGTCATATTGTAAAACAAAATAACGCTATAATGCATACCGTGAAGTAAATGGTCGGTGTTAAATTGTGATTTTGTTATATATATCAAGAGAGTTTATATAGATTATAGTTTGTCCACTGCTCGACTGTATTTACGATTTTTTTAATGTTAGCGGTATTTTGTAATATTGATTAACCTTCATTTTGGACCTTGTAAGCATGTCCTTTCTGTTGTGATACATAACATAACCACTTACACCTGTCAACTGTTGTTTCTTGATTACCAATATATACCTATTATATTTTAGTTATAAAAGTAAATAATAAGCTAATTTTATTGACATTTTAGCCTTTCAAGTATGTTTTTTGCATATTCGGTACACCGAACCTAACATAAACAAAACATTTATTTTTTATTTAATAACATTGACACTGGTATAACCAACACTTTACAATGCACAATAAAAATATTTTTAAGGGTTTATGGCAGATATTTTGATATTTTAGTTGTGTTCATTTGTATATTTTGATTTATAATTTACAATTTTTGGTTCAGATATGTAACTGGAATTTACAGTTGTCTATGTGTGCTATAAGTTTATATTATGTCAATGTATCTGTGCAGTGCTGCGCGCAGTTAATAGTATTTGCAACATTTAAAAAGACAAAAAAAATAATGAAATAAATAGGTTTTCTGTACAGATTTTATATCTTTCATTTGTTATGTTATCACTCATCAGGATCAGAATAGAATAAGCAAATACCCTGATAATATTTTTTCCACTAAGATCCCTTATTTGATTAAATGTATAAGTTATGTCCCTAGTTTTCCTGGGCTGGTCTTTTGGTAGACTTCTCAGACCGACACCGTTTTTTTCACCTTCGGATCCAGGGGAGGGTTGGACAGAGGAATATTGGTCCAGAGCTTGCAGCAGAGAAAGAGAGCGGGCCTCTTCGGCTCCTATGTCAGCTGCTCTTCCTGTACAGGTTCCATGCTGCACCACTAAGCTTGTAAGACCCAGTGATTTTTTTCCTGTCCTTTCCCTAGTTCGTTTCTGATGGTGGTTTGGCTACAGGCGTACTCTCCAGTTTACAGCTCGTCCCAGGTTGATGACTCCCCTTCAGCCACGCATCCATCGGCACGGTACATCTGACACCTTGGGTTGGGTTAAGAGGAAACGATATAAGTAGTCCTTATGGCAGAATTGTTGACATGGACAAATCAAAGATAATGTGTAACGTTCATGTCACACATATGCCAGTAGTTATTGGGGATACTAAGGTCGAAGTTGTTGACAAGTATGTTTACCTGGGACAAATAGTCCGACTCGTTGAGTCCAATTTCGACCTGAATTTTTCCTTGGATTAATCAGTAAGCTAAGCTAAGCTAGTATTCACGAGCACTATAAACGTACGCGTTAGGCATTATAAAAACAAAACAAGAAACTTAAACCGTAACAACAAGAATAATATCATTAAGTAATAAATAACAAGATTATTCTTTCGTGATAGTCAACACGGAAGTGTAACAAAAACTAAAATTATTAAATTATTCCGCCAAAACAAATGCGCACATAAGGCAATGTCCTTGAAGCACTGGAACTTTCCACACACCGTTAAAGCGTTATGTGTGTTAAGACATCGCCAACGTTTATTTATTTATCCCTACGACTAGTCTTCATATGGAATTTAAAATTTATGGTTGTCATTTTTAATATAATTACACAATCAATTGTACCCTGACGCAATAAGCAGTTCTTTACTACAAACATTATTGAAATTAATAAACGTACCTAATTGGGTAACTCAGTACTCACACAATTATAAACACTATTTCATTGTTATCTTTGATTTTGTATAAGAAAATAGAAATGAAATGGTACTGAATAATTTAATAGTTAAAATCAATTGCAATTATGATCGACAGTTGATTAATCTATCAGAATTAATGTAAAAAATAATACTTTTACTTTATTTTAATTGAGTTTCCGTATTTAATCCGGCCAATACTTTGAATTTAAAAAGAGGTACGTAAATTATTAAAAATGACTTTCAAGTTTTATAGTGATTGCCGCCTCTAATTCTTATGTCGCCGGCAAACTAAATTTCAGTGCAACGTGGAGGGAGAGTCTGCGCATGGGTACAGTCGCGTTCTAAAGTACTCGTACTACGGCTATGTAAAGCTATTCTTTTATAATATTATGGTAATTAATTGTTTTATTGTAGAATCATAATAGGTGTTTTACTAGCTACTTAGAACTTTGGAAGAGGTTGGAATTAAAAATGGATAATGTTTACTTGAGCATTATTTGTTATTTCTATCGTAAAATATAAAGTACCTAGTTTGTAACAAGAAAACTTAAGCTAAGGGTGACACACCATCCATTATGTCGTCTTGGTTCACATGGAAGCCAGATGTTGATGGTGTGTTGGTGTTGCTGGATGCTACTTCCTCATCACTTTCATCTTCGCTTGAGCTTCCGTCATCAGGTCGATCACATGGTAATTTTTTCGGTATTCTTCCTCAACACTTTTAACTTTACTGCACAATTTTCCCCATTTACCTTCTCCTATCATATTTACCTTTTCGTTCACTAGTTCAGTCATAAAACAATAGATATAAATAATTTTTCTTTCCTTCCTTTTTAAAACCATCGTCGTGAGTTGCAAAGTAAGCTGTGTATGCGACTGTATTTTGGGAGCGAACAAAGCGCGGGAACCAATAGCATGCAGGCACAGTAATACTGGCGGATTGTTCCCCCGTCGCGCCCCCTTCGTACCAATCAGTGATTAATCGCTCAGTGCCCAGGTTCAAGGCCAGCGATCTTTTTACAGGACCGGAACTATAACAGTTCGGCGTTTGCGCGTACATTGACCTCTAGTCAGCTAATATCAATTCAGTAATTCCACTGCTGGTTTTATGTTTCAGTATTTTCATGATTTTTTTATGAAATTATCGTTTCATTTAGCTGTACTAACATGATAGGGAATGAATAAAGCTAATAAAACGTTGTGAAAAGATGATTTTTCTTTCATCAGGATCGATTTTATATTCCACCCATTATCAAAGGTGTAGTTGGTACTGTCGTCTGTCTTCGTTTTCGGGAGCGTTCCAAAAATACCCTGTATATCGAAACGCATGGGAAACAGCCAGTGGGTAGACAACGGCAGTTTATTTTTATATTTAGTCGTCAATAGTAAGACACTGCTGTCCATCTCCTGATTTGTTTACCTCTGTCGCCTCTTACGACACCCACGGTATGATATGGGGTAGTGGATATTCTTACATCGCCACTACAGAGTAGTGATTAAATTACTCTTTGCCAAAACGCTCCATCCAAAAAGTTAATTTGTCCAATATGTTTTTGCTTGCCATAATAGGCCATAAAACGTAGAGTGCGCGCAAGATAACTCTGCGCGCGGCAAAAATTGGAACTAATCGTGTACCGCTATCTTACTGTTTTTAGCAGGTGTCAAAACTAAGTGTTAGATGTCGTGTTTTTATCCGTTTTTGCAATAAATAATCGTTTTCATTATGCCGAAAGTGATTAAAAGTGCTTGTAGGGATATTATCTTGAAGGACAAACGTGCTTGTGAAGAAGAACGAGATAATAACGGAACTAAATTACCGTTTTCCAAAGTTCGAGCCCGCGTTGCATTTTTGACAGGTAATTTTTAGGGCTGCCATAACAATAAACCTCCCTTATTTTCTCGATTTTTTCGTTTTTAATTTCCTCGAAAACACCAAGGAGACCCACAGTATAAAATAGAATAAATGTTAAATGAACATGGACATGAGGTTCTCCGTTTACCGCCTTACCACTGCGATTTAAATAGCATCGAAAAATTTTGGGCAATAGTAAAGAGGCGCATTGCAGAGAAAAATATCACTCAAGCTCGTAGTGAAACAGCTGCTATTACTGAAGCGGCGTTTAGAACAGTAACGATAGAAGAATGGCTCAATGTATGTCGACATGTAGAAAAAATAGAAGATAAATATTTCGAAACAGATAGGCTGATGGATATGGAAATGGATAAATTTTTAATTAATGTAACAGGCGACACATCCAAGTCTACTGTATGACTGTATGGGACTCTTAGAAGGGCTTGTTAAATTATAGGGGCTGGAATAAGTAATAGTTGGACAAGAAGGGGCCGATGAAGCAGAAGCAACAACGTCAGCTTAACATTACGAAACTGGTGGATGGCCTTAACTGGCTTCTGAATAAGATATAGAGTTTCTAGCCATTGTTTCTTTTATAGCTTTTTGCCTAGCGTACTCCGGGCACTTTCTGTCCGTTGGGAAATGGAAACCAGAACATATATAGCTTATACCTGAATGGTTGTCACCACATTTGTAACACCTTTGAGTGCCTCTGCATTGCATTTTGGTGTGACCAAAACGGCAGCAATTAAAGGATTGCAGCGTGAGGTAAATATAAAGCTCTACAGATAGGGAGTTGAAACATATAAAAACCCTGGGAGGTAACACCTTCCCATCAAAGCTTAAATCTACGGTCTCAGTTGGAATGAACTTGGGCGTCTCGTCGTCATATACCTTTCTGTTTAATCTCCGAACTTTCAAAATGCTTCCACAGTTCTGTGGAAGCTAAATATTTTCCATAATATTGTTGCGCGCCACTATTAATGTCTTGTATATGGCAACACTAGTTACACTAGCGCCCTCTAGTGTCGAGTAGCAGAACTAGGAGAGTCAAGATCCTTCTAGAAACTTCGGAACCGATATGTACTCGAACATTCTAGATGTCGCTACAGTAGGAGATTCTGGAAACTATCTGAGGCCCTAAATAAGGCCGGTATAGACCACGACCGAGCAATATTGAATTGGCGATACAAGAGAATACTTCGAAGCGAAATAACAGCGAACTGTGTTTTATTATTAGTGTGATTTTAAGTTGTAATTAGTGTTGTGTAATTAGTGT